ACACCTTTGATACATAGCTTAAAAATTATCTATTATTAAGCGTTGTGTCTATGATGTCTTTTGTTCGCCACATTGTAAGCTACATTTATGTGAAAATTAACTCATTTCATCAGGATTCGATTTTCTATATAATTTGTGCGAGTTCCTTTCATATATTAAAAAGTACTATACACAAATACTATATACTCATTCAACAAAACGCTCAAACACAGCACAATTTGTTTTTGATGTAGATTCCTATTGATACTGGAAGAGATTAAAAATCGTCAAGAGTCTGTGTGTCCTCTTTTTGTTAGTTAGAATGCTGGTTTCGCATTCAAAATCAATAGAGGGAGGAAAGCCAGGTAACAAAGGTAGTCAGAGATGACTATGGAACAAGTGGCTGAATATAACGTGACTACTTGACTTGCCTCTCCTTTCACTGGCTTCGTGTAAATCTGGCATTAGCGTTACCATTATCGTCGAATAAAAATCTGTGCAGCTCAAGAGTTTTATTAGATTCGGCGAAATCACTACATGTACTAAAGATTTTATCTCTCTCTGTGAGATACTTAGCATAATTTATCTCCGTATCATTTTTTTTTTTATTAATCAAACTTTCTATTTTGCTCCATATAGTCAATATTCAAATATCATATTGATTGTCTTTTTATAAATATTGCCTTTTTTAATATAATATAATAATAAATAATAGATATATTTAAAAAATGTAGCATGGTTCTGATAGAATTCTTTTAGCAAGTTGCGTGATTAATTCTGATCGGGACTTAGGAAAACGTCTTTTTTTAACCCTTTTTCACATTTAAATTCGTAAATAGTTAAACAATTTTATATTTTTGTGCAGATTTCGTTACGATGCCTCGAAAACTTCACTTTTCACGGAAAGGACAATTATACCAAAGTATTTAAAAATTTTATTAGATACAGAGCTGAAAATGACTTTGTTGTCACAAAACTGAAAATCAATAAAATTAAGGAATTGTCAGGGAAAATGATCAAGGAAATCAGAGAAAAGTCAGAAAATTTTGCAAAATTTTCTGGAAAATTAAAATTCTTAACTTAAAAAAAGTTTAATATACGTACATCTACACAATTTTGGAATATTATCAACTTAACAATAAAAAATGCAAGCAGTGTTAGCAATATTAATAGTAATTTACATTACTATGCTAAATTGATCTCTCAACAAAATATTTAACGGTTTTCAAATCAGGGCGAAAATATAAAAAATTTCAAAATATTATTGAAAGTCAGGTAAAGTTACGAAATTTTGTTTAGAAATTAAGGAAAAGTTATGAAATTTTAGAATATGGAATTTGTAACAATTCTGATCAAAATAATTATGTAGGGAATTCAAACATGATGAACAATGTTGCAAAAAGTTTTGACATTCTAGCAATCAGTTTGAACGTCCTGTATAATTATTTTAAGATAGTCCAAAGAAATTATTTCCAGCTCTATATTTAGTTAAACTTTTAGATACCTTAAAAAAATCGTTTTTTTCGTGTTTTGACAACAAGGAACAGTTTTGCACAGACTTTATTTCGTTTTCACTTTTATATTTTTAGCGGAAATCTTGTGAAAAACACTGTAGTGAAAAGGTGAAAAGTTACGCATTGACAGAATTGGTTAATAATGGATGTAAACCGATAGTGAAATTATCGAATGATGAAAATTCGTTCAACGGACATCGTAAGATCGCTTAAGCACGACTGTCAATTCTGTCGTCCGAGAGAATGACGATTATTAATTTTGTCATTGGCCGTCGCGAGATTACCCTGATTGACCCCTATGTACTCTCCTTTAGAAAGAGTCGCTCGCTCGTTTCATTCATGCGCGCCTCTCGCGAGCGGCCTCCGACGCCGACTCTGACGCTGACGCCGACGCCGCCCGGGAGGCGACGTCCGCGCGTCACGTACGTTTTCTCGTCCTGTACACGAGGTCGATCGGCGCGGCCGGCGTGCGCTTGACAGCTCTTTCTCGACCGGCCGCCGCTCCGCAGCAATACCGTTGCCTATATGTATACACGGTGTCTCCGAGCATTACCGCCGCCCCAAATCGTAGCCGATGTCTTCTGGACTAGAATTTTATCAAACGTCACTTTCCAACGCGTTTTGATATTTAGCTTTAATATTATACCGTCAAAATATTTATGTAAGAAACTAAAACGATGTTGCAAAAAATTATGACATACTAACAATCAGTTTGAGTATCCTATATAATTATTTTGACAGTTCAACAATCTAATTTCTATCGTTGTAGATTAAAGCCTGTGACACACAAGCTTGCTGAATTACTTGCGTTTCAATAAATTACTGTAAGAACTGCACTGTAAGAACGCAAGCAATCCATAGGAAAAATTCCAGCGAGAAAAATACATGTGCCGCTGGCTTAACTTTAATTCTGGTTTAACTTATGGTAAATTCAGTTACTCACTGTACTGGATTAGAACACATTAAAGGCTACTTTATATAAAATATTTATCTAAATATAGTTGCATACCTAATATAATCAACTTTTGAATCACCAATTAATTAATACATATATATTCTGTTAAATAATGTGACAATATCATTATTGGATATTTAATTGTTTAAAATATTCGTATGCTTTTATTTTTAACATTTTTTTTAAACTTGAGCGTATTATCACATGAATATATGCTATTTGCTATTTAATATTTTATTTGACTGTATATATTTTGAATTATGCAAATTTAAACGATAGCATTTTGCCCTCTTTGGATATTGATTACTCACGACCTCTTTTTTGAGGTATATCAAAATAATTATTTAATAATCGATTGTAGCTCTACTGTTAATCTATAGTTTATATTATGTGTACTATTTTTAGTACTGAGATTTTTAGTACTAAGCAGCTTATATACAGAAGATATGTGAATGTATATGCATTCATTTGCATACATTTTAAAATGTTTTACTTTTTTGTTAATTTTGTAACCAAATACTGTTTTCTAAGCAAAATTAATATTTTAAGGCTATTTTTATGGAAGGCCACATTACCACCCATTTTTTTTCTTCTAGTCATTATGCAGTGTCGCCACATTTTTATTAATAGTATTCTAAGTAATCTTTGAGTCCAGAATCGATTCAACAACATTTTAACGAATGTAATTATCAAACTTTAAACTTAAATATTAATTATTAACAAAGTTATTGTATAAAATGTAACTGGCGTACCATAATACCACCTTCTCCTCTACTAAACAATTTATTTTTTCAAAATTTTGACTATTTTCCAACATATATTATACATTATTATGTACATTAGATCTCAGATGATGTCAATAAAATTAAATAATTTCAACGAATAATATCTTCAAATTTGATGTACATTTTAATGTACGCAGAATCTGAAGGGATTAAAAACCTGGGCTTTAATCTGCATTAGTAGAAATAAAAATAAACAAACTAACAACTAGGCAAATCAAGTTTGTTATTCGTACGATCCACGTAAATATATGAAAACGTGTCTAAAATAAGTCGTTGCATTTTAGATCAGAAAATCCTAAATATAAATCTTAATCTTTATAATTAACCGCCAAATATATATTTGATGAATTAGATAAGCTTATCATTAAACATATTAAGATGCTTACTTGCAGGGTTTATTTTGCAGATTTTGGGATAAACAAGTAACTTATAAAAGCCACCCCCCATTTCAATGTCTATAAATATGTAAACTTTTATCTTTGCGCTGCGGATCGGTAACACGAGCGCCAACTTAGAACCCTTTTGTGTTACGCCGGCTGCGTATCAAATTCGCCTTGCTAACGATCTGATGAGGAGTCGTCGCTCGTTAAGCGTATTGTTTTCCCTGGGATGTTCTTTGTGGTTTCGTGATTCACGCGAGCGCCGCGTGTGCATATTTACCCACCTATTCCGCGAAACGAAACACTATAAGTTGGGCGTGCTCTCGCGACGTTCTCTTATCAAATTTATCATCTCGATCGCGTGGAAGATAGTATACGAATCCTTTTCTCGAGGTACAAAAGTTGCATTTACAGACTTTGCTCTTCCTGACTTGTATTTCACATGTTCGTAGATTGAATGCTCATGTTTCAGTATAATTTTAATCAAGTATATAAATTTCTGCTTTTCCTGCACATATATATTTATTTAAAAATGACAGTCTTGAAATGAAGACATATATCTACAGAATATTCGATGAAATCGATTCGAACAGGATAGAAGGTTGATAAAGCAATATCTTATCCTCCTCCCCGTATTTCTTTCGTCCGAAATTGTATAATAGATACCTGAATATCTTTTCACAGTTTTCTACTCAAAATTAGATATCTTTACTATAATTTGCGCATCACTCACTGCGCTAAACTTCATTGCAAACATTCTTATATTTTTTACGTTATTGAAAGGACTTTGTATAATTTCTTCATTTAGGTGTCTTTATAACTTGATAATAAATGAAAATCAAACCTTGTCGAGATATTATACTAGTTTGCACATTGTAGACACGTCAAATTTTGTAATGATTGTAAAAAATATCGCTAGATTTTTGCTTGACACTAATTGCAGTTCTTACGAATTACTTTTATATGTAGCCGAATTAACCACCGCCTGCGTTACTCGTCTGTTAATTAATTCTATAATCGTCCAATAATCGCCTCATTATCGATAATCATTACTGCTCGCTTATTATATCCGTGCTTTTATCTAATCGTGGATTTTCTCGGAGATAATGACCCCTGAAATGAAAAATTGTCACCTTGATGTTTATCATTGTTTTGTGCCTTTATGTGACATCCGCTTTCAAAATTAATAGACTTTCGAATTTAATAGACTTGGCGCGGAAATGCACCGGTGCGGAAGAGCAACTGCTAATCGTCGTTGGACATGTTTCAACGAATCGTTCGTATATAAGATGTCTTGGAAAATACTCAACTATAATTGAGAGGATGAGCGGAATAAAGGCCTAATTACAAAATCTTGATTTTGATAAAAATTAAAATAACTTGTTACTCTTTTATTATACCGCAGATGAAAACAGTATTAAATGTATATTTATATAATGTCTTTGAGAAGTTATGTGCATAATATTTCTCTATTATGATCAATATTTAAAAAGTTATTTGCAATTTAAAAAATGCACTTAGTCCTCTTTTCCGAATATTGTAAGAATCGACAAAAAAGACTATGAACTGGAGAAATGTTTTTTATTTTCACATTTTTCTTATAAAAGAAATACAAAAGGAATATAAAATACATTTTACTTTTACTTGTACAAAATAAATGGAAATAATGTTCAATCATCTGATGAGTTTTCGTAAGATTTTTCAGCATAAATGTGTAATGAAAACACATTATTATCGTACCATTTTCGTTTAATCTCTGATAAAAATCTCATTAATGATTTTAAATCATTTATGCCCTTTTTCCATAAATTATATCATTTTCACCATCATACAGGACAATCAAAACACGTTCATATTTAACTAACGTAAGCAACATCAATTCCTTGTTTATTTGCGTTAATCTCCAAAAAAAGGGCCTAAGTAGAATTGTATCTTTATTCCACCAATCCCCTCAATTTTGATAACATATACTCTAAAAACTTGCGGTAAATTTTGGCTCAGAAAATATTTAGTAAATATTCAGAAAAGGGGAGCCACCTCCGATGACCTGAGTGACCTCTACCAGGTTATAGGTGGCGATCGCTGTCCGTTAAAAAGTTATTATATAAGACAACATATGTCAAGGTCAAGGTCATCGAAGGTAGCTCCCCTTTTCTGAATATTTACCAAAAAAGATTATATTGAAAAATAAGTGGAATTGTTTTGGTTTAAAAAAATAAAAAGAAGTCACTGATTTATGAAACTGCCTACGTACAATTTTATATTTATATATTTTTATTAATTTCCATAATAAATTGATGATCCGGTATTTTGAGACTTTTGATGTCTGACTCACACATCTGGCTTTCACCAGAAATAATATGCCGTTGTAAATTATCACGAATTAATGCAATCTGGACATTTCGCGCATTCCTAAGATTCGCGCTCGCGCTTATCAAATTCAATTTCGGAAATAAAGGGTTCAATTAATGCGACGCCGCCGGCCAGTCACCGATTCAGTCCTTCTCGTGCCCCGCCAAGTTCCGAGTTGTTGAACTGCGGAGACAACCTGTCGACTCAGCGAAATTGTAAATCGCGAACCTGCAGCTGCGATTCAATTTTGACGATAGCTCGCGGCTACACTGTATATACACGTTATACACACACATATTTGCACTGCAATTGGCAGCATAACGATTCGCGAGTTTGGAGGAACAATTCGCGCAATTCCAGTCGCAGTATCGCGTTCCGTTGGTTATCGAGAGCGCATTCGCTCTTTCTTGTGGAATGCATCCGCATGATTCAGCCCGATCGCAGGATACGTGATTCTGCGACGAGTTCCTTGTCACCGAACGATTACGAGTGACTGTCAGTTCGTGACTTTACAAGAATTTGTAAAGATTACCATATTAATTTTTTCCTAAGAATCTAATTCGCCAGATATTTTCTGTCTTTATCTTAAAAACTTTGTTTTAATTTACTTTTATCTTCTAGCTCAAAACTTTCACGGTAGTGAAAGTATTTTTAAATTGATGCTGATTGAAAACAAGTGAGATATTATCTGTATATTAAAAATTTATGCGTTGTACTAACTTTTTGCAAATAACATATATGAAATATTTATCTTCTGTTTAGTCTAGGATGAAAATTTTTATGTAAAACCGGCGAGGCATGAAGATAATTTTGATTTGACGTAAAATTAAAGATGAAAGTTTCGTCATGAATTAACATATAAGAACACAATTTAATAATCAAGATTGTGTTTTTTATTTAATTTTAAATGGACTTAAATTTTTAATGAATATCTGCCATAAACATCTTTTACTACTAATGATAAATATTCTCGCGATATTTTCTCGAACAGGTTTTCATATCAGAATTAAATATGAGAACTCTCCTAACGTTTCATAAGATAGTTATGAATCATCCTGCATGTATAAACAGTCATAAACCGGTTTAAGAGAATTCTGTAATTAGGGCAGCTTTTTCTGATCGAAGCAAATCGATATAGAATGTTATAGCCTTTATTTGGCCAATCCGTGAGAGAGAGTTCCGTCATAAGTATGACTTCAATCTATTACGCCATCTTCGTTTCTCAAATAATCCCAGTACACTTTCCATGTTTGTCTTTCCGTTATCGAAGTAACGGCGAAACCACGGAAAGAAGTACCGCGAGTATATATTAGACTCTCTCGGACTCTGTTCTTCCGGTCGCAAAGACGTGAGCGGCGTGATAAGTGAGGCACGATTCTCTCATAAGAGCATTTCCTCTCAAGAGAGCTCCAGTTGTCGCCAATTAAGTTCTCGATCTTCTATAACTATCCTTTTGCATCTCGTATACGCAGATTATTTCTTGCTGCAATCTGTTTTTTTTTATTTGATATAACAAGCCCGGTTCATTGTATTAAAATTTTAAAATATTTCCGTCGAATTTTTGGTTCCATTTTTTCTGCCTCTCTTATACCCGTTTCTATCAATGTATATAATTTAATTTTGGTTCAACTACACTGAAGCAGCAATTTTGCTGAAGAATCTAAAAATTTAGCTAGATACAGATTTGAAAAATAATTTTGCTGGATCATCAAAACAATTAGATAAGACGACAAAATTAGGTGTTAAAATATCAAAACATTTTGCAGCATTGCTCATCATGTAGATTCCTGCAAAATTATTTTCAGATCTGTATCTAACCACATTTTTAGGTTCTTCAGCAAAATTGCTCTTTCAGATAGGCACCTAGGATACACCTAGATACATTTTCATATCTTTTTCTAGTTTTAAGAATTAGAAAAAGATAAAGAGTAAGTTAAACTAAGATTAGTTATAGCGACTTTGATTGGCTGCACCAGTGAGCATTGATGCATATATTGAAGTCATCGTACACAGATTGATAAAAATATGTGTTTAATTTAAATATATAAAAAAGGATTAAACCATGAAATCTTCAATACATTTTATTATGCTATTAAGTAAAATCTGTATTTTATAATCCGAAAAATATTTGCATTTTATTTTTACACAGATTAAATCAGTGTACAACGGCTTTAATGTACATTAGTGCGCATTCGTGCATCCAACCGAATTCGCTAATAATCTGCATTGATAAAAACAGGCATATAGAAAGCTGAAACTGCTAAAAGTGACAAGGCAGTCGCTTAAGCTGCGAAATTTGCAAGGGCAGGTAGATCTTTGGACGATATGGAAATACGTCCGGAGTAAATTCGCCGGTAATTCCACTGTATAGTATCAAGTCGGCCGTCGCCGGTCGTTCGAGTATTATTAGCGCGCTCGTAAACAGCAGCCCCGGAAGTAGTAGTGACATTAAAGATTGCGGTCGCTTCCGTAGCCGCGTGCGAACCGGCGCGGCGTAACCCGCCGGATCTGCTACTACCGTGTTGACCTTTTGTCGAACAATATGAATGATTGCGAGCTGAATGGCCACTACTTAGCGGAATACACGGTGTAAACAAGCCATTGCACACAGAGAAATGCTCGGTATGAACAACCACAATTTTGTCGATGTGCGAATTACCAAAATTTTTGTTTTCTTTTAATTTATAAATTATGTTTTAATTAAAATTCATTTTTCTAACCAAATTTTGATTAGAACAATACAATTTTCAAAGTAACAACGTTTTAGTTATTTACATATCAACAAAATTATGGTCATTCATACGAAACATTTCTCTTATAGCGTTTTTCATTTACTAGTGCGCATTCAGTGCACTTTAAAGCCGTTGTACATAAATCGACATAAAAATATACGTTTAATAAAAATATAGAAACGAATTAAACCGCGAAATATTCAATACATTTTATTGTGCTATTGATAAAATACACATTGGGAATTTTATCAATTGAGATATTTCACTTTTTTTACATTTAGACTCGTAGAATAGTATACAACAGCTTTAATGTGCACTGAGTGCGCACTAATCCTGTCAATGAAAAACGCTATTAGTGCACATTTATCTGGATTTCTTTCCTCGAAGTATCAATGAGAAGATGTATGTGTCTTGACACATCAAATTAGTGCGAGAAAAAACGCGACACGCGTCTCTGCAGCACGCTCCGTTTCTTTACAATTAGAATGGATTTTTTTCGACCATTTGAGATAATAAGATTCTGTAATTCTTAATGACATTAATGAGTATTGTTATATTTTCGTTGCACAGTTATTTTTTATACAAGAAGAAAGATTTTGTTGAAACATCTAAAAATTTAGCTAGCTAGATACAGATCTGAAAGTAATTTTGTTGGTGGACTATTAAAATACTGATACAGGACGCTCAAACTGGTTGCTAAGATGTCAAAGCTTTTTGAAGCATTGCTCATCATACTTTAGATAATTACGTAATTATTAGAGTCCGACCGAAACTTTTGCCGAAACTGAATCGAAACACTTAGCTACATGTCAGTTTCAACCGAAACCGAAACTAAACTTAAAAAATAAGAATCCTATAAAGGCCTTTTACTTTTTCTTCATAAATATAATTTATTGAAACAATAATTAAATTTCGGCTGAAATCGAAAATCAAAATTTCGGTTGTGTCAATTTTAGCCAAAGAATATAAGTATTTCTTCTTCATAAACATCATAATTTAATTATTGAAACAATAATTACACATATTAAAATTATAATATTTATGAAGAAGAGTTATATGGTTTCAGTCAAAACTGACACGTAGTGAATGCTCGTTTTCAGTTTCGGCAGAAGTTTCGATCGGACTCTAGTAATTATTTTGATAGTCCAACAAAGTTATTTTTAAATCTATATCTAGCTAAATTTTTAGATACTCCAGCAGAATCGTTCTTTCCATGTACTATGTACAAAACCTGCGCAATGACAATGTAACGACGTCGTTACTGTCATTATAAAAATTACAGACTAGAGGCCTAAAAGTTGTGATGTACCGGGTAA